AATTAATATAAAATATCTACCCTTAAACAGAACAGGTAGACCAATTAGACTGTTGATATGTTCAGAAAGAAAATTATGAAGTGTGATTAGCATCTATTTTCTTTAATTAAATTTTGTTTTGTTTCACAGATGTACTGTAGGAACACTTTTATTATTTGATGACTCCCATAAATACATCTTCAAATGTATTACAGTAAATGTGAGAAAACACCAAAACAAAAGCATTTCAACCACAATTTCAAATAAAGTTTGGATGTGAATTTTTTTTTACAAAAACAGAATGCATTGCTTGAAAAATCTCATTAATATGTATGTTATTCCCAGTGCACCATGATACACGTATCAAATGTTGAAGCCTGGAGCCTCCAGCCTCTGGGCCATACACAGTCCTCAAACTCTGCTTATCCGGCTCACCACACAATGTTAAACAAATTAATAAAATAAACACAGCAGAAACATAGCAACGGAGAACAATTTTTCCCCTCTACCATGTACAGTTTCTTAGTTTAAACTTTAAAAATATTTATTACTGTGTTGTGAATAAAATATAGGTTTATGAGATTTGCAAATGATAGCAATTCTGGTTTTATTTACATTTTACGCAATCCCAACTTTTAGAATTAAAGGTGTAAATATAATAACTTGTGTCCAGGTAAGACTCCATTTAGGATAGCGCCTCTTCATGGCTGCATGACCCAGGGCACCTGTTCTCCACGAAAAGATCTTGAATGGGTTGTTCCAAAGTATTTTTTWATTTTAATTTTATCTTTAATTTTAGTTGATTTGGGAATGTTAGAAAAGGAGACATTCACTCTCACTATGCAGATCAATCACGTTGCATTACTTTAAAATGCTTTGTTTTCTTGCATTGTTAAACTTTGAATGAGTTTCTGTGAGTTGACAGTACAGTTTTGCACTGTGTCCCCAGGACATGAGAAACTTGAGGTTTGCTCTAAAGCAGGAGGGACACAGCAGAAGAGATATCTTTGAGGTCATCTTCAGATACGCTTTCCCTCTTTCATACAATATGGTAAGATATTTATGACCTAAACCACCCTGCAMTGACTGATGATTATGTTTGAAAATAATGCAAGACAAGGGATATTATTTTTGTCACATGTACTTGATACAGATCTAATTTCCGCAGCTCAGGTACTTTGGGCTTTAAAGTGTTTGAGACTAATTCAATGGAGTTCCTTCTGTAACTCCATTGTGTATTTCTTCACTGACAAAATCAAACATATTCACCAGTACCTTGGGCCACTTCCTCACCTTAGTGCCTCTTTGGACTATTAATCATCTACACATCCACACTCCTTTCAGTCCCTCACTCTCTCAGAAATCACTGAACTCATCAGAATGTCCAAGCCATCTCAGTCCCCTCCCCACACAACGGCTGTGTCTCAATTCATGGGCTGGATCCTCATGAGGACCCAGCCTAGCTGGGCCATGTGGGCCACATCCTCCCTGGGCCGGATAGGCTGCTCAAAACTGCTGTGAAATGAGACGGTCTACCCTTCGCCTGACGTTGGCTTGACATGAGTTTGCGTGACCACACGCTACCCCATTACCATAGYGATCAGTTTCATGCCGGACTTAAAATGCGTTGGGACGTGYATTTTTACACGTCTTTTTAGTGGAAGAATAACTTCACAGTTAAAACCTTACACGTAAATAAATAAAGAAAACATTAATAATTTGGCTTTAGCTCCAGTATCTACGACAGAGTATTAGGGCCACACAACAATTTTTTTTTATTATTATTACGACAATAAAATCATAATATTATAAGAATAAAGTTGTAATATTACAAGATAAAAGTTGTAAT